GCTGCCACCTTGCTACGTGTCCTCTCCACCCCTCCTACCAGTGTGAATGATTGTTTCCTCTTTAAGTCCTTGGTTGTTGGACGTCCATACAGTTTGATTTTTTGGAAGTTCTGATTATTTTCTTATTTTTAAATTTGTTGTTGTCCTTCTTTTGTTTGTGCAAGGAGGCAAAGTGTATCTATTTACACCTCCTTCTTGACCAGAAGTCGAAAAGCAATCATAGCTGTTTTAAAGTCTAGGTCCAATAACTCCATTTTCTGAATCCCCTGGGAATTCTACTGTATGTCTCCCCCTGAAAATGTTCCTGAACATGTTTTGTCTTTACATGCTTTATTTTCGGATGACATTTTTTTCTAGCAGGCAGTACAAGGCTAAGGACACCAGAAAGTCTGAATCGCTTTAATTCAGTCAAGCATTTATATGACTTAAAGCTGGGCTTTAGTCTATTTTCATCTTTATTCCTAGTGTGTAGCCCTTCAGGGTTCTAAGAAAAGGCCTGGTACATTTATCCGTGCCCCTCTTCTTGGGAGGTCAACTATTTTCTTCTCCCCAGCTTTGTTTATTGAATGACCTACTCAGCTTCCCAGACTCTACTTTTAGAAATAACGATCACTTTGAGTGGAAAAGTGGCTCCAAATGGTAGGCTCACTTTTCTTGGCTTCCTTCCTCTCCTAGAACTTGGGCCCACAATTCTTCACTGCTTTGCTGATCATCTGCCTTCACAGAGATTTTTAAAAACTTTTTGCCCAGTTCTTCTAGTTGTTCAGCAGAAGAGTTGGCCCTAAACAACTTTGCCCACTCTTGCTGGAATTAAAACCTCCTCTCTCCTGAACTTCAGTCTTAGATTTCAAGTAGCCTATTGAATGTCTCCTGAATGTCCCACAGGTCCCTGGGTTCAATGTATCCACATTGAACTCTTCCTTTCTCACATCTCCTGCCCCATCCCACTCAACTGGATTTTCTTGATATGGCTGTTTTGTCTGGGGTTTCCAAGCTATAAATGTTGTCTATGCCTCTCCTCTCTCTCTGCCTCCTAAATGCTATCACTTACCAACTGTGTACATTACCTCCACTATTTTCCTTCCACCTGAGCCCAATGCTCCATGCCCTAGAATGTTATCCTTGACAACCCTCATCCGCCTCCTGAGTGACTGCAGCTGTGTCTTTCCTAACCTTCCTTCTTTCAGAACCCTCTCTTACACTTACACTGCCTGTGCTGCCAGAAGATTCTTCCAGAACAAGGTTCTCACCAAGTCACTGTTTAAAATCTCCAAGGGCTCCTCACAACCACTGCAATTATGGAATAATCCTCACCTGGGCACTCAAGCCCTCCATGATTTGACTCCACCACTTCCTTCGCATGCATGTACTTTTCCTGATTATGCTATCATGTAGTCAAGTCACTTTGCAGAGTACAGCACCACCCTCTGCCTCTTCCCCTCTATTCCACATGTCTCACAGCCCTTCTCCTCTGAGATCTGTCTGAAATACTACTTCATTCAGTCCATTAACAAATATTTATCAAGCACCCACTATGTGCCAGGTATAATGCGAGACCCTGACAAGACAAAGGTGAGCGAGGCAAACAAGGTCCCTGACCTCACCTAAAGGTCTAGTGGGCGACACAGAAACTAAAAAAGGACTTATCTCCTGTAGGAAACTTTTCTAATACTTCTCAAACAAATATGACTAGCCTCCCTTCTGTTTCTCTGAAACCTTCCAGGATTCTCTATCATTAATTAGGCTTCCTAATGCAGTCAGGGTCCCATCACATGTCTCTGAGTTTGCCTTCAATTATTCCTCCTCTCACGCTCTTCAGGCCAGCCAAACTAACTTGCAGGAGTACCTCATTCCATTGCACCTCACATTTTAATGTGCTCCATAGATGTTGTGTTGTTTCAAATTGAAGGTAAGACCCTTCACCAGCAAAAAGATTACAACTCACTTTCTTGGGATGATCTGGAACTGAACCTGCAATAGCTCTGAGGTATACCTGTATTCGTGGTCCCCAGATAGGCCACGCTCTGAAGCTCTGCCCAACAATGACATCAGGTCACATTATTGGCTCTTCTAAATCTTACGCATGTTCCAAAACTAAGCTCCAAGCCACCTGCTCTGTAAAGTCACCCTTCAGCTGATTTCCCTAATGGTGAGTGTATAAATAGTTGATTTTGTGTATGTGATGTCGCCTCTAGCAACCGATTCTCAGGACAGCTTTCCCAGAGTCATACACTTGCCTGGCAGAGAATGTGGCCTTTCCCTCAGCTACTACCGCTGTAAGCAGCCAGAAGTCGCCTTGCTTGTTTCTCTCACGGTCGTCTCTTCCCCTTATCCTCCTTACAGGTGCAGGGCACATTGTTTCAAGAAGATGAATGTGACACTACTTCATACAGTATTGCCAATTTACGTTAGAGATGAGCATTGTACAAGAAGAGGGAGAGGACAACTGAGTCAGTTGCAGGCCCTAAAAATTAAGTTTCTTAAATGTTTTTCTTCAAAACATTCCTACATTCTATATTTAGAATGACTTTAAAAGTAAACGTGTGCTTTCAGCAAATAATTACTTTTGCCCTTAAAAACACATGTATATTTTTACACATGGAAAATTACATGTATATTTTTATGAAATATTACTACCAATTACTTGTTATTTCTGAAGATACTTGCAGACATATTCATTTCTTCTTTTTTATTGTTGTTGGAATACAGTTGTCTCCACTTTCCCACCACCAAGACATATTCATTTCTGTCTATCAAAGCCAACACTGCATTCTTAGGCAATTTACTTTTTTTTTCTTTTAATGATATTTTATTGATTATGCCATTACTATCGTCCCAATTTTCCCCCCTTTTCCCCCCTCCACTCAGCACTGCCCATTCCCTCAGGCAATCCCCACACCATTGTTCATGTCCATGGGTCATGCATATAAGTTCTTTGGCTACTCCATTTCCTATACTATACTTTACATCCCCATGGCTATTCTATAACTACCAATTTGTACTTCCTAATCCCTTTACCTCTTTACCCATTCTCCCACACACCTCTCCCATTTGGCAACCATCAGAACAGTCTCTGTATCCATGATTCTGTCTCTGTTCTTCTTGTTTGCTTAGTTTTTTAGATTCAATTGTTGATATATGTTTTTATTGCTATTTTATTGTTCATAGTTTTGATCTTTTTAAAAAAGATTTCGTTTATTTACTCTTAGGGGAAGGGAGGGAGAAAGAGAGGGAGAGAGACATCAGTGTGTCATTGCCTCTCATGCACCCCATACTGGGGACCTGGCCCACAACCCAGGCATGTGCCCTGACTGGGAATAAAACAGGGACTCTTTGGTTTGCAGTCCAGAGCTCAATCCACTGAGCCACACCAGCCAGGGCTGATCCCCTTTTAAGTAATGCCCTTTAGCATTTCATATAATAATGGTTTGGTGATGGTGAACTTCTTTAGTTTTATTTCTTGTCTGGGAAGCACTTTATCTGCCCTTCCATTCTAAATGATAGTTTTTCTAGGTAGAGCAATCTTGGCTGTAGGTCCCTGCTTTTCTTAACTTCGAATATTTCTTGCCATCCCCTCTAGCCTGCAAAGTTTTTTGTGGGAAATCAGCTGACAGTCTTATGGGTATTCCCCTGTAGATAATGAACTGCTTTTCTCTTGCTGCTTTTAAGATTCTCAATCTTTACCCTTTGCCATTTTAATTCTGATGTGTCTTGGTGTGGGCTTCTTTGTCTACACCTTGTTTGAGATTCTCTGGGCTCCCTGGATGCAATTTGTTTCTTAAAGCAATCTTATATTACAGCATCTTGTACCTTCTTATAACTTACAGTTTCCACACACTAGATTTTCCTAAAGGGAGTTACAGGACTATTATTTGTGATTTAGATTCTTGGTGCTAGTAACTATCATAGGCTTTGTTACCTTTAAGCAAAAACAAAAAAGAAATACATCTATTATTTTTTAAAAAACCAGTTTCTTGTTTGCTGACTACCTCGAGACATCTTTGACCTCTGGTTGGTTGGTTTTGATTTTTTTCCTTTTCAGGTGGTAAAGGAGTGTTGGCCATTGCCTAAGTTTCCCTCCTCAACATGGGTGTGATGAACTGGAATCACTTCTATGGCGTAGACGGGACTAACTAACCACTTAATATTAACACGTCTCTGATTTTAAACACTGAAGGAACTTTTTTGAAAAAAAAAAAAAGGCACATACATACAAGACATCGTGGCTACCCCATTATGTATATGCCCAGCAGACCTGGGTTCCCTGACCACTGACTACCTGTGTGACTGATCTCTTTCAGTTTCCTTATGAACTAGGTGATCCCTACGGATTTTTCCAGCTCCAGAAACTTGTCTAGCTCTGAAAAGACGTACTGGCTCCTAAAGGACTTGGTGAAAGGATCCATTATTTTCCTTTTTATAAAAATACTATGGGGGAAAAAATCAGAGTGGATTTGAATCCATCACATTTAAGTCAGGCTGTTCAAAAGTTGAAAAGAAACCCAGCTGGGCGAATGAGTTAAATACAACTTTTTTTTTTTTTTAAATGAAGCTAGTATATCGCCTTAAAAGGATTCAGTCTTCCCAACAATCCTAGGAGACAGTGCAGGATTCCCAGTCTCTTTTTACAGATGAAAAAACTGAAGTTCAGGAATCTAAGTAGCTTGCCTCTTCTACGTAATCCGCCCATCATCGCTCTCTTCGCCGAGAGGTTGAGCGCTAGTGTCCCGGCAGAGGTGACAGACCGGACCCCTCTAGTTCTAAAAGCTGGCGGGCAAAGCTGCTTTAACTCAAGCGCCACTTCCGCCTTTCTTGAGCCCACGAGGCTTACCGCCCGCACCCCCCCCCCCCCCGGTGCTGCCTGAGTCACGAGTTTTCCACGGGTGCTTCTCCGTCTGCTGATTGGGTAGGTCTTGAACGAGTGCTGTCCTCTGACTGGTTGTTACCTTCTCGGCTCTCCCACCCCGCCTTAGACCAACCGGATATAGGGGCAGGCCTTCCACTTCCGCCTTCTCCCTCCTCCCGCTTGTCCTCGGAGCGAAATCGCCACCACAGCGGTAGCTGCCGGGCGCGGTGTCTGTGGTTCGTTTGGTTTGTCTGTCACTGTCGGTGTCCGTGCCGTTGAACTGCCAGCCATGGCGGAGCTAGATCCATTCGGCGCCCCCGCCGGTGCTCCCGGCGGCCCCGCGCTGGGGAACGGGGTGGCCGGCGCGGGCGAAGAAGACCCGGCCGCGGCCTTCTTGGCTCAGCAGGAGAGCGAAATTGCGGGCATCGAGAACGACGAGGCCTTCGCCATCCTGGACGGCGGCGCCCCTGGGCCCCAGCCGCACGGCGAGCCGCCGGGGGGTCCGGGTGAGAATGCGGGCGCGTTTGGGGCGGGAGGACTTACCGGGAAGCCGGGCCCAGAGTGGGTTGGAGAGCTGTGGGTAACTCTTGTTCTGTCGCTAAGCCGCGACGTTGAGGAGGAGTGCCGAGGAAACGAGACCCCGGCCCAGTCGTGCAGAACGCCCGCTCGGTTCAGTGAGTGTATTTGAGCGCTCATGGCGCGGGCCGAGTGAGAGCACAGCAAAGCAAATACAGTGACAGTCACGCCGAGGGGCCCGGAGAAACCGGCTCAGTTCCGGAACTTTTCATTGAGTGCTTGCTGTGCGGTGAGTCTGGACTCTGGAGCACAGCCGCATTGGCGCAGTGTGGCCAGACTTACAGGCAAGTCTGAGCCCAGCACGGGACCAGGTATTAAGAAGGGAGGACAGAAAAATAACAGTATCGTTTTTGAGACATACAAACAAAAATGGCAATGATGGAGTTAAACACTTAAGGTGTACAGAATGTTGGGTTCTGAGGAAGAAAAGAGGAATGAGTGCGGAGTTCCAGAAAGATGGTACAGCCTTGGAGAAAGAGGGATAGGAGTTTTACCATTTACCCGAACGTGTTATGGCTAGGACTCCAGGAACTCCGCTTCCTCGGGAACAGCAGTGGTAGGCACTGCCGTCTGAGCAAAACCTCAGGTTAGCCTGGACCAGTCTTCCAAGAGGTGAACAGAGAATGTAGTATGGCCTTTTCCCAGCCACACTCAAGGAAAAACAAAAACACGGTAGAATGCCAATTTGACCTTTAGTGCTTTATCTGGGTGTGATATTTACAGTCGTCGCGGTGGGAGGAAAGGCTGAGTGGCAGAGATCTTTTCATTAATATAGGGAAGTAGGAAATTAGCTAGAAGAAATAGGACGTGGCTCTTCATTTACTTTTAAAAAATACTAATTAAGAGAGAACAGGGCAATGGTAGGGCAGATGGGAGCTTCAAGGTGCCAGGTAGTTTGAACATAAATAAGAGAAACATGCTGGGTGTGAGATAACGAGAGTTGGAGGCTGAGGCTTTGATATTTCTGAATAATGCTCTTCAAAAAGCAGTCAGACTCAGAAATCTCGTATTATTGTGCCAGTCAAGCAGAACCCTTTTGGGGGCGGGTGGCAGCAGAGGTGTGGAGACTGCTAACTTGCAGTCTCTGAGTTTTTATACTATACCATGTTGCTTCCTAAGCAAATCTGTCCCCCAGTTAGAACTTACATAACAATGTGTAATATACCTGAAAACTCAATTTATAGCTAGCTGGTTGGATTGAAATAGATTGTGGCTGAGAGATGAAGTTAGCTTTAAGTGATAAGGGTTTTTATGGTGTGGGTGTGTGTGTGTGGTGGTTCTTTTGTGGTCTTTAACGTTTGCCTAAGAATCATAAAATGTGCTTTTTTAGGTCCTTAGTTTACCTCCTTCATTTAAGAGAAGAGAAAAATGAGTCCTACACAGAAGTGACTTGCTTAAGAAAAAGGGCAAGTCACTAGGTGAGCTCTGTTTCCCTGTCCTCTGACTCTACCCGATTCTGTTGCAGTTTCAGCAGGGTTGTAGTGGGTTGAAAGATGGTCATTGCTGGAAAGCAGTTGTGGCTGCCCTGGCCAGGACAGCGGTGGGAGAATCAAAACCCATAGTTGGGTCCTGATTCAAGGACAGTGTTATCTCTTGCTCACTGTTTATCCGAAATGCCTGTCAGGATGTCTGGTACATAGTAGGTACTCACAAAAGAATGGGCAAAAATGTCAGGTCCAAGGAACCTGTATAGAAGCAGCAGATCTTGGTGACTGGCAAGTTGGAGAGATAAAAGGGAGAAAATCGCGTTGGACACATGGGTCTTTTGTGCCTTAAGCTTTCAGCAAAGGGAAGGAAGGGGTGATTGCTGACTTAGTTCCTAGGAAGGACTTTCTTAGTGAACTAAGCATTTAGTGATTTAAAGCCTGATCTCTGACATGTAGTTGGGGTTGGAAATAGCGAAGTGGTCAGCACTTCCTTGGATTAGAGAATGAGTTGGACACTTTTTTTCTTCCTTCTTTCACTCTTTTTCTTTTCCCTCCCTCAATTCTGTGCTAGACTGCTTGTGTGAGTGTAGCTTTTCAGGCAACTTATATAGCCTCTGCTCCCCTGCCTCAGTTTTTCCCTCTGTAAAAGGTGCAAATATGCACCACTTAGGGTTGCTAGGATTCCATTAGCACCTGTAACATGCTTACACACAGTATGTTATTACTATAATGCACCTATGTACCCAGCTACTGTTATTTCTTAGGAGTAGGGAAAGAAAGGTGTTACAAGGCCTATAGGCTGTGTGTGTGTGTTGGAGGGTGGTGTATTGAGGAAACAGATTTTAGGAGGGAGCTCTGTGTCTGATGTGTTTTTATGCCGAGAGCTATAGGCAGGAGGCTCTCAGAGATGGAGGAACATACTAAACTACTCCCAGCCGGGGGGAAAGTCCCATGGCAGATGGGGCAGGCAGAAACCAGGGGGGTTAGGCCTGAGCCCTGGATGACTCCCTCAGTTGTTGGGAGGGGTGGAAAGATACACAAGTTTAAAGGTGGGAGGTAACCAGCTAGGTAAAGTAGCTCATGGATATTGAGGAAGAACAAGTGATCAGGAAAGAGGCAGCCTAATTCTAGAGCCCTTGAAAGCCTTCAGTCACGAAGGCTGATGAGAGGAAAATAAGAGGTGATTAAGGAGCTACTGAAGGGAGTATGGGAATGAGGCATTCTTTGGGGTGTTTCAGTCAAGTCTTTTCTTGGAGGAGGAGGAAGAGAGGTACGTGAATTTAAAAAAAGCTGGAGGAGGAGAGTAATTTTTTTGGTAGCAGTGAAGAGAAGTTCAAGGAAATCTCATGTGTGGTATTTAGCAGTGCCACCCATTTCCCGTGTGCCAGTTTTCTCCGTACTGTCAGGTCCATGCAGTAAGCAATTCTGCAGGCTAAATGGTAGTGTCGTCCTGTTTCACATGAGAACTGATAATCATGGAACTTAAGCAGTTATCTTAAGGTAGCAAGCTAATAACATGTCTCCCCTGGAATTCCAACCCAGGTCTGCTTGCTTTGGGAGGTTGAAGGTGGGTTCAGGGTAAGAGCCTTTCATCTCTGGAAACATATTCTGACCCTGCTTCTGTCTGGATGCCCTAGACAGTTTCCTTCTGGAGCATCAGGTTGCTTAGCTTAGTTGTCCTAATAAAGCAAGGCACTCTAGATGTCCTTTCTGCATGTTTCTGTAGCCACAGATGATCTTCTGCCTGGGGCCAATTGAATCTCAGTGCAGTGGTGTGGTAACTAAGAAGAGTTCAGATCGTTTGCCACTGGGGCTGGATGAGCCTTCAGGCCTACAGGACAGGCAACATGTGACCTAGGAGGTATGTGATGAGAACAGCTTCTAGCTCTGTGATGGAGTAGTGATCAAAGTCTTTCCTACTGGGAATGGCCCTGGGCTGGAATGTATTAACTGACTAGTTCGTGTGTCAGGTGTAATACATTAACCAGAATGGCAGTCTGGCTTGTAGGCTCTAGGATTTAAAATGATCTCTTTTCTACCTTACACAAAAATAACTTCTGACCTGGCTGGCGTAGCTCAGTGGATTGAGCGCGGGCTGTGAACCAAAGTGTCGCAGGTTCGATTCCCAGTCAGGGCACATGCCTGGGTTGCAGGCCACAGCCCCCAGCAACCACACACTGATGTTTATCTCTCTCTCTCTCTTTCTCCCTCCCTTCCCTCTCTAAAAATAAATAAATAAAATCTTTAAAAAAATAAATAATTTCTGGGCGGATTTAAAATACCAAGAGAAAAGTGAATATTTATCTTAAAGGGGGGGAAAGGCCTATAGCGTAAACGCAGCTATAGAAATCATAAAGGGAAAATTGATAGTGTCTATATATAAGTTAAGTAGTTCCAGGTGTTAAATATCAAACTGTATAAAAAGCAAATGGGGAAAACACTTGTAGTATGAGAGGATGAATTAATACAGAGAGATACTTAGGGATTAAAAAGATTAAAAAATGGGCAAAACAGATAATTCAGTAAAGAAAATGTCAGATTTTTAATTACTTCAATGGAAATAAGATTGGCAAAACAAAACCACATTAAGTTTTGTGTTTAATACCTGCTATCAATTTAGCAAAAAGGTATAAAAACATGAAAAAACTCAGTCTTTAGTATCAGCGGAGGTCTGGGAAATGGGGCACTCTTGTGCTGATGGTAATAAAAGGGAGCAAGTAGTTGGTGTGTTAGAAGTTTTTGTGACCCAGCAGTTCTACCCCAAGGAATATATTATTGAGGTTCAATTGACTATCCCCACCCCCCTGCCATACTTTGATTAGTTTTTTGGTGAATGTTGTATTTCCAAAACTTTATAGAGTGCTTTTAAAAATTATATAGGTAGGGAACACACAAATAGCTTAAAGTGTAAAAAGCCAGTGACAAAAACGATGAGAAACTTTTGTACTAACATAAAGCATATGAGTAAAAGAATTAGGGAAATTAAGTTAAAAATATGAGAAATATGTTGCAATAACCCGGGTTTATAACCAACAATTGAGACAGATCAGTGCTGAGGTGGGTTGGTAAATGCTTAGGTCCTGCAGATGGTGTCCGTGTGTCAAACTCTCTGACGGTCTCTCCTCTGACTTCCTGGCTTGCCTCGGGTACTGCAGCACTTTTTAAAGGCTCATTGTTTTGTAATACATGCATTTAATATTTTTCCTAACATATCTTAAAGTTAAAAAATAAAAGAGGAAATGTTGTCATCAGTTACCTGTCCTTTGAAGAATAGCTTACTCACCTTAAGGAACCCTGTGCATGTTCTTATTTTTTTTTTATTTATTTTTTTTATTTATTTTTTTTTAAGATTTTATTTATTTATTTTTAGGGAGGGAAGGGAGTGAGAGAGAGAGAGAGAGAGAGAGAGCACGAGGGAGAGGGAGAAACATCAATGTGCGGTTGCTGGGGGTTATGGCCTGCAACCCAGGAATGTACCCTGGCTGGGAATCGAACCTGGGACACTTTGGTTCCCAGCCCGCGCTCAATCCACTGAGCTACGCCAGCCAGGGTTGTTCTTTTTATTTTTTAAAAAGATTTTATTTATTTATTTTTAGAGAGAGGGAAAGGGAGAGGGAAAGACAGAAATGTTGATGTGCAAGAGGTACATTGATTGACTGGGGACCAGGCTCATAACCCAGGCATGTGCCCTGACTGGGAATCAAGCTGGTGACCCTTCAGTTCTCAGGCCGGCACTCAGTCCACTGAGCCACACCAGCCAGGGCCCTATGCATATTCTTAACGTCATTTGTGAAGTGCTGATACATACAGGTTTATTATAAGGATTAAAACAATGTTGATGAAGTGTTAAACACTGTGCCCAGGACATGGGAGGCGATAAGCAGTAGGCATCTTCATACTAATAAAGTTGAGAATTTAATGAGGTGGATGAATGGGTTACTGAAAAAAAGGTTATATTGTAGGAGTCCAGTTTTGCTGAAATTTTTTATCTATACACATTAGGTAAGCTAACAGGATAGAAGTCAGTGGGTTGAGTGAAGAAATTGCAGGGCATTTTCTTCTGTCTTCCTTTTCCTTTTTTTCTTTTTAAAGATTTTATCTATTTTTAGAGAGGGAAGAGAGAGAGAGAGAAACATCAATGTGCGGTTGCTGGGGGTCATGGCCTGCAACCCAGGCATGTGCCCTGACTGGGAATCAAACTTGCGACACTTTGGTTCGCAGCCCGTGCTCAGTCCACTGAGCTATGCCAGCCAGGGTATTTTCCTTTTTTAAACAATTTTATTTTACTTTTTTTGTCTCAATTTTTCTTTTTGAAAAAGTAATGTTTTGGCCCTGGCTGGTGTGGCTCAGTCGGTTGAGCACTGGCCTGAGAACTGAAAGGTAGCCAGTTCAGTTCCCAGTCAGGGCACAGCACTGGGCCAGGTCCCCCCATTGAGGGCATGCGAGAGGTAATCAATTGATGTATCTCTTGCACATTGATGTTTCACTCCCTCTGTTTCTTTCTCCCTTCCCCTCTCTCTAAAAATAAATAAATAAAGTCTTTTTTTAAAAAAAGGATGTTGGCAAAAGATGATAAAATGTTTTTGTATCAGAGAGACATGCTGGGAAAATGATCTATAAAAGTTTTCAGTGCTCCCAAAGCCAAGAGGAAGGTAACTGAGAGAAGCAAGAGAACCAAAGAAATAAATGAAATGGTAATGTTAATTTGGAAAATGGGCGGTTAAAATTGCATTTATGGGCATCCCATGGAGATGCAAGTTTGGTTCCAGACCACCATCGTGATAAAGCTAGTATCACAATAACAGAAGTCATAATCTTTTTGATTATGATGGAAGGTCTTGCTTTCAATTTGTAAAGTGCAATAAAATGAAGCATGGCTGTAATTAGTTAGCAGCCAAGACCAGAGGAATGGTTTGATGAAATCTTTGCCTGCCAGAAGGAAAGAATGAGGCGGAGGGCACCTGCCCCAGACCTCTAGGAAAGCTATTTCTGTACACTGCCCTCTGAGGGCCTCCTAATGGGGGCCCTAACTAAGTGCTTGGCATTCCTTTTACTTCTTGAGTTCTTGAACCTTTTAGGTTCGTCTCTTCTTTCATCTTCTCTCTCCTATTCCATGCACTAAGATGACTTTGTAATTTGAAAAAAAAAATGGACAAATAATGGAAGTTCTACATGATAGGTAATACATGGAGCTCAACCAGCAGATACGGAATGCAGATTATGTAGGTGGAAGCTACATTTTTATGGTGTCTAGATTGAGGCTTTTGGAGGAGGTCAGAGCAGCCACCCAGAGTGATGGCGTGTAGCGCTGGACAGACTGCCTCTTAGTGATGGCTGGGTGAGGGGCACATGCTTATCAGGCCAGTCAGAACTAGATGAATGAAACACAGAATGGGTTAAAAAAAAAAAGTGGGGCCAGTGGGACTGGCATGCTGCATGTAAAGGCTCCCCTCGTTTCAAGCAGTGTTGCCAGTTCGGAAGCGCAGACCCGTTGTCAGGTCTTCTCTCTGCATGCCCCACTCCCCAAACCTGGAAATCCTGATTTGTGGGGTTTCCTTAGTACTTTGTATTTTAGATAAAATACGTTCAGCCTGTGGACCACCATTTTGTACTGTGTGGGTTGATAGTCTCTAGGTCTTACTTAGGCATTATTTATATTTCTGAGATGGACTTTCTCATTTAATTATGAATAATTGTGTCTGTAAAACTGGATTGTACACCTCCCTTTGAACTGTTTAAACTTTTATCCTTGAAAAGACTAATTTGGTGTGTCTTACTGTTTTGAACAAATTCCAGGTGCCCTGTAGGAATTAGCAAGAAGTCTAAACTGTTAAACCGTTAGGTGCCAAACTTACTGCAGCCACAGGATGGAGAGTCTTGACCCCCAAAAAAGCACCTTGGTTTGAACACAAAGCTGCACATTTCCTCTCAGTGTGAATGAATCTGGGCCATGCTATTTTTTTTTTTTTGCCTTCTCCAGAACTTTCATAGAGAAGTACTGTTGCTCTATGAGACTCTTCTGCCATGATTCTATGTGTTCTCTCTAAGCCAGAAAGCAGAATTTCAAAAGCTTTGGGGCCTGGGAGCACAGAACAGATTTGTCCACATTTTGGTAAAGTCATTTGTATATAGGCACATCTTGGTTTCATTAGTTAAAAAGTTGTTCAGTGTTACATCTTGTACCTAGCACAGGGACACAGTGCTGTATTTTGCTCTGCAAACCTTTGGCTCAGCATTTGACCAGCCCTGACTGACAAACCGCAATCTTAATGTCTTGCAGATGCTGTTGATGGAGTGATGAATGGCGAATACTACCAGGTACAGAGTAATTATGTTGCATGACGGTGCTCAAGAGTCTTTCTGTCCTGTGATTTAATAGACTGACCTGGAAGGGACCCCACTCCTTTGACCGTCCTGGGTGTATTAGTGGCTGGTGTGTGACCTGCCAGAGGAGAAGGATTTGAAGAGAAGTGACACTGATAGAGCATTATTTTAAAGTGCTATTTACCTGGCCCTAATGTTATCAACTTCATTCTTAAGAAGTGACCCTTCATGGCTGCTGCTGCTGCTGCTGCTGCTGCTGCTGCTGCTGCTGCTGCTGATTGTGAATTTAAACGCTGTCTGTGTCAAGCACTGTTTATAATTAATCTTATTTAGTTCTCACAACCACCTCAGGGACCTGTACTGTTGTTATTTCTATTGTACAGATGAATAAACAGAGGCATACAGAGCTTAAATCAGTAGTCTAAAGTAACAAAGGCAATATGTGGTGGGGCCAGCATTCGAACATTTTAGATTGTATGGGGAGGGGGGCTGATACTTGTGATGAATACCATTACTTTTTCTTCTGTATCACAGGTGGCACACCCAAGGCCCACGGGCTGAATCCGGCCCTCCACCTTGTTTCTACCCGGCAGCAGCGCTGGGCTCCTTGCCCCCAGTGAAGGAGTAGTTAAATTTATACAGTCCTAAAATTACATTCTTCCCTTTGAAGGCAACCGTGAGGCTGATGTGGCCCCCAGTGAAAATGAGTTTGACATCCCCACCTATATTACTAAGCTTTCGGTTGTTGGCCCAACTTGCATTGGTTTAAATAGAGAACTTGCTTGTTTTTATAATTGAAAGAGCTCTGAGATAGATTAGGTGTCCTCGGACCAGAACTCTGACTCAGTTCTAGGACTTTGGCTCTGCTTGCTGAGTGTGCAGTTTTGTACTCAGGTTCTTTTCACAGTGGTGAAATGGCTGCAGCACTTCAGACCTCATGTGTGCATGTCATATAATCTAGAGCAAAACGAAGGTTTCTTTTCTCCCAACCATGTGTTCAAGTGAAACTTAATTACAAGGCAGGGAACGGGCCTGAACTGTAGTTTCTGATCCCTGGTTTAGAACTCGTCCCTTAGAGTGAGACAGAATGTGATTCATCCCCTGGGTTTATCCCTTACCAGCTATGAATTTGGACTTGTCATTTCTCTGTGCCTCGGTCGAATCTCCCAACTGTGAAATGGGAATAAAAACTTGCTTTGTAGGGTGTTTGGGAGAGAAAGCTTTTATGTGCCTGACACATGGGAAGTGTTAATGAGCTAGTTACTAATACTTTAGATAGTTTTTTCCACCTTTATTTATTGTCTGCTTATGTTAAACTGGTAATACCTAGTTTAACAGGTGAAATAATTCTCTAAACATTAAATTTTATTTGGGTCTTTGTCAATCTATTTATTAGCTCCCAAATCTAACCCATTATAAAGAACAGTCTGCATTCCTACACACTCACGGCTCTGTGATTGCCTGCCTTCTTATTGCTTCTTTGGTGACTGCAGTAACTGTACATTGTCTTCTGGACTCTCCTCAAATTCACTATATTTTGATTAGGTGGTATTAAGTGACCTATTTCCTGCATTGTATAATAGCAGTTAGGCCTTAAGTTCTAGGTCTTGCTCTACTGTGTACTTTTTGTTACTTTGAAAATATCACATAATCTGTGTCAAGTGAGGAAACCAAAACTGATAGCACTGTTTCCTAGTAAGTCCATTACTCACCTCCGGGACTTTCCTGTCTCCACTCATGTCCCACTTATTAGCAGATAGGATAACAACTGCTCTGCCTCCTCGAGGATGGGAAGGACTGAGTGCAGTGATGCTGAAAGCTCCCTATCTGCATGTACGATTGTAACACGAGATTGTAGACTGTTACTGCTTCTCAGGCAGCCCTTTCACATTTTATCATTGTCAGGGCTCTGCATAGCCAGGGGTTCTAACTTGGGTGAAGTGCATTTCAGGAAGGAGTTTTTGGTACTGATAGAGTACAATTGTGTTTTGTGTTAAGGAAAGTAATGGTCCAACAGACAGTTATGCAGCTATTTCACAAGTGGATCGATTGCAATCAGAACCTGAAAGTATCCGTAAATGGAGAGAAGAGCAAACGGAACGCTTGGAAGCCCTTGGTAAGGAATCCCTTTCTATCTTTGGGTGTCTGTTTTCAGTGGGATAGTTGACCTTGACTCTCCTTTTATTCCTTTTTCGTTCGAATTAGCCTTAATGTCCTTGTCAAGTGTTTGGGAAGATAATCTTTCTCAACCTGAATGTCACAGGACTACTGATGTGGGGACACTCAATCGCAGGCCCTTGTGTAAGGATTAGGGCAGCCTAGAGAGCCACCAAGTGCATCCTCTCTCTCCTCTCAAGAAGAGCAGAGTGATGCTATGGAAAGAGCTATGGACTTGGAGTGAAAGGCTGGGTTCAAGGCCCAGCTATAACTCTTACCAACTGTGCGCACTCGGTTAGCCAAACCTTGCAGAGTCTAAGAGTCTTCTAAGAGAAGCAAGATCAGTGTTACCAACCCCAAGGGTATTCTGAGATGGTATTTATGAGAGTGCTTTTTGTAAACTTGAAGGTGTTATATCCATGTGAGAGACTTCACAGTCCATTTATCATTTGAAGGCTGAATTTTTAAAAATACATTTTATTATACTATTACAGTTGTCCCAATCCCCCCCCCTTCCCCTTTGTCTAAAATTAAATAATCTTTAAAGGGGGCGGGGTTGTTCCTGTCGTGTGGTCCCTGGGCTGTTGGTGTGTGGCTGCAGTTTGTTCCAATGTTACCTTCCACCTGTGTCTGTAGAGGGCGGTCCCTTCTTCCTGCCTTTGAGTACTTTGCAGTTTGATTGCTGGTTGTGAAGGTGTGTGAGGAGGAGGCTGTCCCCAGAGTCCAGGGGACTCTGAATCCTCCCTCTGAACTTCAGAGACAGAGCTGGGGTGTTAACCCAGGTCGAGCTCCCACTGCCCCCTGCTCCCCTAGTTGCAAGTCTCAGGAGGCCAGAGGAGAGGGAGGACTAGAGAATGTCCCTGTACAGGCCACCAACATGTTAGGGTGGTCAGTGACATGGCTGTGAAAGAATTCAGGGGAGTGGTGTGGAGAGACACACCCACTGCAGTCACATTTTTTAACCATTTTCAGATACCGACATCACATACTTCATGCCTAAACATTTTATTGTGAATCTAGAAATACAGCACTCTTCTGTGTAACCAGAGTCTCAGCATTATTATTCCTTCTTGGGGACCACTGAACTAGTACAAATACAACTCCTCTATTTTTCGGTTGGGGTAACTGACACCTAGAAATAGGAAGAGATATCACCCAGATAACACAGCCAATTAGTGTAAAATCTGTCGTCTCTCCAGTCCAACTTATGGTAGAGTTTTCAGAGCACAGGCCACACTTACGTTTACAGCATGTCCAGTAGTTACTTCTTTGGTGATGGTGATACCGTGTGTCTGTGCTGCCCAGTGTGGCAGCCACTAAGCTGTTAAGCATTCAAAATGTGGCTTGTATGACTTGGAAACTGAATTTTAAATTTTATTTAGTTTTAATAAATTTAAATGGCCACATGTGGGTAATGCAGCTTTAGAAAGATGGGACTGGGTCCTCCCAGTGCTGGCAGCACCCGTCCTTGCTTTTTCCCTTGTGTCTCTCTCCTCAGTGGGCTGAGAGGCAAGGCCTAGTTGGTATTAGTACTACTGGAGTATTTTTCATGTTACAGAACCCAACTTTCTCTTTTCCCGAAGTTTAGCAAAATTGCTTTGTTCATGGAAAGAGTTCACTTTGGTGTCTGGGAAAATTGCATTTTCTTTTTTGATGATCAAATTGGACATTTACGGGATACTCTGTGAAGTATTGTTTTCTTAATTCAAGATACCTCTGGAGGGAAGTCAAACATTTGGCCTTATGTTCTGATTGAATTGAATCGAATTTGTCCATGAACTAGGTGTTTCTTCAGTTGCACCTTTTTTGCTTGCAAGGACTGTGAGAAGGCACAAGATGCTAAGAATAGAGAACCAGTGTCAACGGTTTGTAGCTTAGCTGCTGGCTCTTAAATAACTTGCTTTTCTGTGAATAGTAATGAGGATGGCCAGAAGAGACAGCTGTCAGTGTGCCCTGCTGTCTGAGGGGACTCTTTATCCCTCCCTCCTTCCCCCTTCTCCCTCCCAGATTCAAAGAGATGGTATTATGGCTTGGATCTTTGTCTCATCAAGCTAAGTGTTTAAGAATTGTAAATCCTAACTGACAGTGTCACTTCATAAATCTGTAATTGTAAGAAGACAATTTAAAGGGATTGTTTTATGTAGTAACTATAATTAGTACAAATGGTCACAATTTTTATTTAGATAAAAATTTTTGGAGATAAATTTCCATGATAATTTGTTCCTACTATGTGATAATATTTAAAAAGTTACCAGACTACACAGAAAGAAAATACTCTTCAATCAAAAAGTAATTTTTTGAAAGTAATTTCGCCAATCTTGAAAAGGAGACCTTACATTTTGAATATGGTATTTTTCAGTTTCTTGCCCACATGGCACTGTCAGCCCTTATCTCCCATGGCATCCCAGCACCTCCATTCTGCCACGTACACTAGTGACAGGACAGCCGTGCATCAGGAGTTCACTCTGTACGTTTGAGTCATCGATAGAAAATCTGAGGAAACTAGTTCTCCTGAGACATAGGTCACCTGACAAGTTAGATAGCAGGGTAAAAAGCTATTTTACAATGTAAAACCATGTGGGAGTTTTTAGATGCTGTTTATTCTAGCAGTTACAGACGGCTTTCTGTAAGTTGTTCCTACAAGGCATTTTTTCAGAGGCCCTGAAAATGCCCCGAGTTGCTTCCTTTCTTCCCTTGGATGGTTACTTGCCGCCACCGCCACCACCACCTTCTCTTCCCCTCCAGGACACTAATTGCCTGCTGGGCTCCGGCTCCGCCCTGCCCAGACTCTAGTCTGGCCAGTGGCAATCCCCGTGTAGTTGCATCTCAAGATTATTTCTAGGCCTTGCTTCCCTTTCAGTCCTGTCCTTCCAAAGTAGCACAATGCAGTAAAAACATGGGCCTTACAGCCAGACCTGGGTTTGAGTCCTGACTCTGCCCCTTACAGTGACTTTACGAAGGTTTCTCAAACCTTCTGAGCTGTAGTTTTTCTCACTGCCACTAGGAGATGACATTTCACCTCCTTGGGGTTGTTGGAAAGACCACAGGGGACGTCTGCAGAACACCTGCCAGAAGGATGTCCTTAAAAACGTGTCACGTGAAGTGTCAGGGGAACTTCAGGTGTCAGTGCAGCAGTGGCTGGGACGCGTATTTCTTTTTCTCCCATTACTACTGACATGAGTCTCTTCATTTTAGGTGAATGTCTTAGGAAAATCTATATTTAAACCTGAGAAACTTCCTGTTAGGCATGCATTTTCTAATTTCTAGAACCTTTGCAGATAACTGTTGGTAATGATCCCCCACACTCTGCAGGTCTCTTCACTGGAGTTTCTCCTTTAGTTCTATCCTAGCTCTGCACAGACATGCTCTGCAGTCCAAGCGGGAAGAGATTTTGTGGTCTTCCCAACTCTAGCATCTATTATATTCTGTTCCCTGGCTTCTCAACCTTCTCTATGTCTGATAACTTTCCTGTAGCTCCCTACTTCATACAAGTGCTGCTGCCATATTTAGTTAATAAGAGAATGAGTGCCATCTTGTTCTACAAAACCATTAGTAGTCAACCTGAGGTGTGGAATATAGGCTGTGAGAAGGTTTTATTAAAGGATTATCAGATACCAGCAATTCATCCCAAACTAACATTGGCAGCATTACTAAAGAATCATCTCCAATTGCTTTTCCCTGAGTTGGCGCCCTCATAGTCTTTTTTCTATTAAAAGTATCTCCACTCCCCTCACCCCCACCCCCCCAGAAAACAAAAACATACCTGCACACAGCATAAGTTTAATAAGACCAAAATAGACTGATGAAGTGAACTTCAGTTTATGTTCTGTTTCATTTATATTGTCTTTCTTTTCCTTCCCATCAAAGATGCCAACTCTCGGAAGCAAGAAGCAGAGTGGAAAGAAAAGGCAGTGAAGGAGCTGGAAGAGTGGTACGCGCGGCAGGACGAGCAGCTGCAGAAAACAAAAGCCAACAACAGGTCAGTCCACGGGGCTCCTAGCACAGCTCGTTTTCCGACGGGATCGAATCCATTTCCGACAGCCAGGGCAGGTTCTCAGCTGCCAACTCTGTTCATGTGAAATGTCTTTGTGGATTGTCAAAAAAGTGCTTGAAACATAAGGATTGCAAGTTCTTGGGCCTTATGAGCATAATTTAGCCTATTAGCCATAGTGAATCGTTATAGCGAGTTTAGCTCTTCAGCCAAGAGTTTTTGGTTCACGTGCACCTCATGTAATGGTATGATGCAGTGAAAGGAAAAGTTATTTCATGGAACCCTAAAGTGAAAGGCTGCTTTCATGACCGTGACCAGGATCTCAGTCCCCTGAAGCTGTTTATAGACTCGGTCATGTTGCACCCCCTAAATACAGCCCTGCCCCCTGAAAGCTGCTTCACAGGGGAGTCCATCTGTAGGGAAATGTGTTTTGTAGTGAAGTAGCCAACGATGGTCATCCAGCACAGCAACTTCAGAATTAAGGGTTTGCTGGGTACCTATCTGTAAGAAAATCTTGGGCTTTTTAAAAATGCTTTTTTCAGAATTTACTCACTAGCTGAAGGGCTAAGTAGTTGTGGACGAAAACACTTTATGTCACCGCTGACCAGCAGCTGTGGCGCTTAACACTGTGTGCCGAGTCCTCTCGGAAGGAGCTCAGAGAAAGAGAGGTGGACGCAATGCTGCTTGCCTTGGTGTGTGATGGGCTCGCTTTGCCTGCTGGATTGACTTCACTCACTTAGTGTAAAGATAGGCCAGGCTGGTCTTGGCGATGGTTTTAATTTTCAGGGTAAAAAGCCTTAGGTTCCTATCCTCAGAGGCAGAAGTGGGCATAAGTGCCCGTGTCTTTGTCAGTTTTATTGAGATGGAAATTGACCAGAAAGGGGGAAGCTGATCACTTTGCCAGCCAGCCCGTGCCACTGTGGAGCAACTGCAGCAGAACAGACGGCTTGTGTAGAGCCTTCGGCTGCCGCCTGTCAGCCATCCTTGGTTCTGTCAGCTGCCCCTCAGACGCCAGGTTTGAGCCTCTGTCCTGGCCATTACCCTGTGGCACCCGCTGGGATTCCATTTGAAGTCCTGTGAAGAGTGTGGTGGGGACCGCTCTCAGGCTTCTGCTGGGCCTGTGATCACTTTGGAGTGCCGACAGGTCCAGGCTTCTCCATCCTGTGCTCATTCAGGATGGTTTCCCCCAGCTGCAAGTTCACGTCTCTTAAAGAAAGATGAGTGGGTGCTTTGTGCAAGTTGCTGTTCACCCTTTGCCTATGAATCTGCTCTGAAGTACTTGGTAAAACTGAGTGACCCTCCCTGTTCAGGGTCTCTGAGGATTAAGCAAGTTGGCCTTCAGATTCTGAGACTTAAAATGTGATTATGTTGGGAACGGGCTTCCCATTGCAGACAGTTTTTCAAGCCAGTTTTGCTACACTGTATCCTTTCTGTCTGTATATAGAATTAGTTGTCCTCGAAGAGAATAATTATACCTTTTCTTAGGAGCTGAGTCTTAGAGGTTTAGTCTCTTCAGGCATTGGTTTAGGGCTTGGTGTGCTTTTCTTTATGTAAAATTGTAGAATGTTGGGTTGGATAGTCTCAGAGATGAACCTAGGTTCCAGAGAGGGGGAGAGAGTGAAACTCACACTCCTCGGGAGTGCGGAGCTGTCACTGCCTTGTAGAAACCTTGCAGCACAGGGCTGCCCCCGAGTGTGTAAAGCTAATAGCAGACTAGCCACTGTCACCAGAGTTCCAGGACAGAGGGATTTTTTAAAATACAAATTTTACTTATTTTTAGAGAGAGGGGAAGGAAGACAGAAGGAAAGGGAGAGAAATACGGATCAGTTGCCTCTCATATGGGCCCCAGAAGGGATGGTTTCTACACTCCATGCCAGTTACTCAGAGGGCTGGGGTGGAAGCCGTTACAGAGCCACTTTGGGGCCCTTCTTCCAATGGCGTGCACCCTCCCCTGGAGATTTGGACATTGCCGACGGTTCACCCTCGTGGGACTAAAGGAGTAAGTCCCATTTATATGTGTGAAGTGACTCAACTTTCTTGTCTGTCGGCAGGTAAATAGTAAATACTTTGAGAAAAGAAAATGGGGGTGCTCAGTTCAAGCAGAGCCGTTCTCCGTGGGTGACTTCCGCAGCAGCTGGGTGGTCACGGGGGCCCTGCAAATATGAGGCAGAGAGAAGTTGAAAGAGAAGGCTCGGGGGTAGCAAGGGCCCATTTTTATGAGTATGTCATGAGGCTTCCTGCCTTCCAGGTGCCCTCACCTGAAGCCTTCAGGGCACATCTGTGCCAGGCATCGCGCTGGGCTGTGGGCAGACAACCAGCGGCAGACCTTGTCCTGGCATCTCTGGTCTGTGTTGGTCCTCCAGTTGCATCTCCTTCCTTGTGTAGGGCCTAAATCTCACTGAGCAAGAGCCATGAATTACCGTATTTTGCCATGTATAACGTGTACTTTTTGCCCAAATTTTTGAGGGGAAAATAAGGATGCACATTATACATGGGTAGTAATAATTCCATATCTATATAAGTGTTTTTAATTCTTTTATTTATGCTTACGCATTAAAAGTGTAGCTGTAGAAAGCAATAACGATATCCATATGCAAAACAATATCCTGGAATACAGTCATTGGTTTTGTTTCTAAATATAAGTAAACAAAATATGGAATTAAAAAATAAAAACGAAAGATTTTTTTCCCCTGAAAGTTTGGGCCACAAACATGGGTGCACATTATACATGGCAAAATACAGTAAGTGACAACACATGGAAAAGAATTCTCTTTTCATAGGAGCCAGAGGAGTTTATTCCTCGAGAACCCCAGATCATGTCCCTTCCCAAACCGTAACAGAATCATTTCCCCTTTTATAGGTAGCTTTGGTGCTGACTTTCAAGGCTCGCACAAGTTTGTGGAACCCACGATGCCCAGTGAGGCACCACGTTTTTTCCATGCCCACTCTGTGTACGTCAGCCTCCTGAGTGACTCGTGGTCAGGCCCGGAAGGCATCCCTCCTCCCCTCTCCCAGGCTGCCCTGAGCCCCTCGCTGCCTTGCCTGGGATTGCTGCTGTCTGTCTGCTGGGTGAAGCACAAACAGGTGGAGGGGCCACCTGTGCTTGTTGAACAAGATTTCCCATTTGTCCCCAGTCTGTACCATGACAGCAGTGCTGTCGGACGAGCTCTTAAGTCTTGGGACCAGCTGTGGAGGAACAAAAGCCGGATGTTCAAGCCTTTGTCAAGGCATCTTAGTGATGCGTTGTCAGGAGGTGTTAAACCTTTATTTTCTTACAGCAGCAGCAAGCACAGTTGAAATTGAGTAGGGTTAGTCCTTTTGTGTAAACTAAAAGGATTATGGGTTGACAAGTTGGCCTATTTTCCTTTCCCTCCCACTCATTTTGCCCACAAACAACTCTGTGTTTTCCTGCCGACTCACTTTGAGCTACAATCAGGCTGTTCTTTTTTGTTTTCTTTAAATTTCCACAGAACACCTCCTGTGTATAAACCAAAACGGTAAAGAAGGAAGGGTATATGTGAGTTTTAAAATTTACTAGCATCTCCCTTCAAATAAATACGTGAGCTTATGTTAACACATGATTGTTCTTTAAAAAAAAAAGTCCCTTGCATTCCTATGCCCCAGACTGACCTAGCAAGACAGGATCCAACTCCTTGAGGGAGGTTCCCTGCCCACCTATAGTGGATGGCGTGGGCAGCCGGGGCAACTGGGTCTAAGCCAGCCTGTCCTCTGCAGTGTAAACTCCGCCACTCAGCAGGCCCCCACCTTCTTGTCCCAGAGCCCTGCCATTTTGAGCCATTCCTGATGTGGGAATTCAGGAGGGAGAAAGTGCTGGCTTCTGGGCTGCACCTTGTCAAGGTCAAGTCTGGACTGAGCAGATGGTCCTATTCAGGGACACATAGTAACCAGAGCCAGAGCCCTCGTCTGCAGTCCTGTCCATCAGACCTTGCCTCCAGCTGCTTTTTTCTCTAAAGTGGGAATTTTGAAATGACCTAAAAGTGTTCCTAGAATGCTGAAAGTGGATCCCACCCAGCTAGTGTGAGGAAGCAGCGGTTGGATAATCCAAGATAAAACTGGCTTTGGGACCTAGCGAGTCTGGCAGCATTCATGCCCAGTGATGGATAGTTACTGAGGCTGGCAGGAAGGTGACACGGCCGCCCACTAGTGCACACCATCTGGGAAGTGCTAATATACAGTGAAGAGGGCCAGGTAACTTTGGTTGTGGGTTCTGCCTGTTGCCTCTTACTGCTGAGCAAGTTGCTTCATCTCCAGGCCTCTGTTACCTCATCTGTAAAAGGCGGTAAACACTCAGTGTCCTAGGTTGCTGGGGTTGCGAATTGAGCCAACACAATGTCTATAGAAGGGCTGTAAGTAGGTGCCTAGGGAATGTTTGTAGTGGCTGGGAAAGGCAAGGGGAGAGTCCCTGTCGGGGAAGCCAGCCCGGAAACTGTCTGTGCCTGCTGGAGGCTGCGGCGCTGGAAGCCTCCCTTGGGTTAGGATGGAGCCTTGGGAACAGCTTTCCCAGAGCACAGTTGTGCCTCTATTATGGGTTTGAGATGTTTCTGCTTCTCAATGTTCTCTCTTTTTTCCTGCCTGCTTGCCTGCCTTTTGGACCTCTTGCTGTCTAGGGTGGCAGATGAAGCTTTCTACAAACAACCCTTCGCTGACGTGATTGGTTATGTGTATGTTGCAAAACTAATTCCTTTTGTTTCAATTCTATTTTTTGTTTAGAGTTAATGCACCTTTTATGCCACAAGTTGCTTTGCTTTTTAAATGATTTCAAATTAGCACTCTGGGGGCTGCTTAAGAGTTGATATGCTGGGGGTATATGATCCATTGTTTGCCTCACAGAACCATGACTTCCTACAACTCCGATTGCCATTTTTCATATTCCGGTTTTGGAGGGAAGGAAGGGAACTGACTCCCTTTCAAAATGTGGGTCATTCGTGATCTTGTCTGGGAAGGCTTTGGGACTGGAGGACTCTGACCTCTTGCCATTGCTGCCACCGCTCCCTCCCTGTCCCAGGTGGGGAGGCCACGTGTCCCCATGTGGGAGAGGTGGACGTCCTGGTTAGGAGCCAGTGGGGACAGCAGCATTTTCTACACTTGGTTCCTTGGTTGCATTCTTCCCGGGGCAAAGGGGGGTTGTCTCTGCTGGGAGCCTGTAGTGGTTTCTCTACTGTCTTACATGTCAGAAATCGCTGTGTAGTGGCCAGCTTCTGGTGCCCCGTCCCCTCGCCCATGCACAGAGAGGCCCCAGCTTTGAGGTGCAGATAGCCAAAGCTGTCTGACATGAGCCACTTTGGCCTTTTCCTCCAAAGAAAATTACATCTTCTCTGGAAGGGTTTTTGTTTTGTTTTTAGGGATTCCTGCTACCAAATCAGTATTGCTGAAGACTTGGAAACGGTTTCCCCCTTAAATATTAGGACTAGATTTTGAGTGAAGGAAGATGAGGGTGGGGCGGAGGGAGAGAGGAGTTGGTGGGAAGGCTGGACCGCAGGCTGAGAGGTCTGTAGAGCCTCTGGGGCCTGTGATCTTGAGGTGTTCATCCCATTAGAAGGCAGAACTGGGTTTCATGGGCCCCCAGATATATTTACAATGAGGCTTGTGAAATGCTGGACTTACAGGTGGTATTGGATTTGATTTTTGCACATTCTCTCTGGAGTAGAAATGGAGACTAGAAAGGTCGAGTCTGGGTTTGCTGGGCAGCAGGGTGGCCCAGCAAAGCCAGCTGCACGTTCCCCAGCGTAAATAGAGTGGCAGGGGCATGTCTAGCTTACTGACCATCTGCATTGAACTCATTCTCATTTTCTATATCTGACCTAAAGTTTCCTTGTTTCTTTTCTTCTCTTCACCTTTAAGCACAAACATAAACCATCCTTGCTACAGCCTAGAACAGTTAAGTAAATCTTTCTCACTGCCCCTAACTGTGTGTGCCATGCAGTCGCAGTGTTGTAGTGGCTCTGGCTTCAGCAGTGTTTGCCACGGCCATCCCTGTGAGAGTGCGACCCTCTGTCCCCATGGACCAGTCATCTCCATTGCTTTTGCTTTGCCCGTGACGCTTGTTGGAGTAGATAAACACAGTGTGTCTTCCCTCCTCTTACCACTGTCCACATTGTGGGCTGTAGCTCCCACCAGCTGGTTCCCGAGCGGGGGTGGGCTGACCTTGACTGAAAGAAGGTTGGAGCAGCATCTTACCAAAAAGCACCTAACATTGATTGGCTCTCCAGCCATCATTGGGTGCCCACCCCTGCCACAGTGTGCTCTCAGTGGCCCAGGGTACCTGGCTGGAGGGAAAATGGCTGACCTAGAGAATGTCCTAACAAACCCTTTCCAGAATGGCTTTAGTGTCTAATGCCTGCTAGCATGGGAGCTTGTTTTGAATTCCTTTTGATCTGCCCTGTTTCTCTCCAGCCTTAGGAGTAATCCAGAAGCTGTTGTGCAATGAGCTGTGGGCTTTTTAGACGTCTCTAAATTTACTTAAAACTTAGTACAGCCCCAACATAAACTACTGTGCAAGTTCTTGACAAGCCTCTGCTTTGCTTTTAATGAAGGCACTGTGTAGCTGGCTGAGGACTTGCTTTTTTAATGCTCTGTGTCAGCAGAGACAGAGAGAGAGCCCTGAACCAAACACCTGTATTCCAACATTTTACACGACAGGGCAGGCACCCTGTGCCCAGGAGAGCCGGCCCTGTGTCTGCTCTCGAGTCCGACCTGGGCCAAGGGCTGTGATTCTTCAGAAACGCGGAATGCCATCAAGTCAGGCATGAAGATGCAGTTGCTTCTGTAACAAGGCAGCCACCAGGTAGCTCACAGGGGTTCTGCATTAAACCAACATATTTTGTCGTTGCTTCTAGGGCAGCAGAAGAAGCCTTTGTAAATGACATTGACGAGTCATCCCCAGGCACTGAGTGGGAACGGGTGGCCCGGCTGTGTGACTTTAACCCCAAGTCCAGCAAGCAGGCCAAAGACGTCTCCCGCATGCGCTCTGTCCTCATCTCCCTCAAGCAGGCCCCCCTGGTGCACTGAAGAGCCGCCCTGTGGAAACACTACATCTGCAGTACCTTAGTCCCACTCAGTGAGGCTCTTCACATAATTGGATTAATCATGTTGAGTTCTTTTGGACCAAACCTTTCGTCTTTAGAGTTGTTCATTGTTTGTGATTGCATGTTTCTTCCTTCAACCGTGTTCTCCCTGGCATTCAGAGAGGAGGGGGAGGTGGTGGCAGAGGAAGGGAGGGATGCCTCCAACGGTAGCCTCAACTTGTGCTTTTTGTGTATTATTCTGAGAATAAATTTCTGTTTCAAACAATAAACATGAAGCTTCATTATTGACCTCGAGATGTACTGCAGTTTGTAGTGAGGTTCCAGGGAAGGAGGAGTTCGCTTTTATCATCATTTCTAGGGCTGAGGCAGCTTAGTGTGGGGCCTCCACCCAAGCCTTGAACTAAAATAGCTCCAAGTCTCTATTGTCTTTGGAAGTTTCCATTTGAAAAGGGAGTTCCAGGGCCAAAAGTTAACCCCTTGGTACCCACCTAAGAGAGCTGTGAATTCTCACCAACCTGTATATTTCTCCCAGGTGGCTCATTTGTCACTGTCCCTTACTTCAGGGCCTTGGGTGGTATATTTCAGTGGCATATATTTCTCTGGGGTCATACACTATAGTGAGACTTTACTTTCAGATTCAGCCAGTAAACCTGAGTCAGACTGGCATCTGTGCGTGGCTAGCCCCCTTACTCTGGATTCCCCTGGCACTTTGCTCATATCTCTGTCGTCAAGTCCTTCATCTAGACGGGCCAGCACAGTGGCCACTAGGCACATGTATCTAATTAAAATAATAAATACATACTAGTTCTAGTTACATTTCATATGGCACGTGTGGTTAGGTAGTATCAGAATGGCACAGCACAGATGACCGAACATGTCCAGTGTAGAAAGTTCTAGACCACACTGATCAATACAGCAGGGGCCTCCAGAAGACTGCTCTATTCAGGCATCAGCATGTTTATTATGTGCCCTCAGAACCTGTCACATTTTAAGAGTTCAAGCAACTAATAACGCCGTATTTCAGAAATCTGCTTATAGTTACCTGATACTATTTCCAAGTTGGAGATGGATGTAAACTCCTGCAATGCCACCCTCAGGCGGGCCTTGCCATTGTGAAGAAGGAACGTCCACCGCCTCTCCTGTGGCAACTGTCTGAAGGGGAGAGGAACCTTCATTACTTTCCTGCCTACCTCCCCCTTTCCAAGCTTCTAACTTGGGCATTCCTTGGCCTTGCCCACAATTCTAGCCTCTCTGCTCGTTTCTCCCCTGTAGCCACCCCAGACTGCAGTCATGCAGTAACTCACTGTTCACCAACGATTTGTTCCTTCTGAGCCTTGCTAATGCCATTCAAGATGTCAAAATCCGGCACTGGTCGGGCAGCACAGTTGGTTAGAGTGTCACCCTGAGCCACGAAGGTTGCTGTTCCATCCCCAGTCAGGGCACAAATAAGGAGCAACCAATGAACGCTTGGTAGGTGGAACAACAAATTGATGTTTCTCCCTCAAATCGATTTTTAAAATGTCAAAATCAGGAACTAGCTTGAAGGCCACCTCCACAATGCTTCCCTTCCTCCCCTGAGCTCCCAAGGCCCCCTGTGCAAGGCAGTTTACCTTTTGGTATTCTCTTGGTGGTGCCATCTGGATTGGTCTTGCCTCCCATACCAAATGGGCTTCTTGAAGTGGATGTGGCAGTTGTAAAATGTCAGTATAGTCTTCTGACATTCCTCAGATCAAGAGGTGACTGGATAATGTGACAAGTAACACTGTGTGGCTTTCAAGGCTAGGTCATAAAAGGCAGTGCAGCTGACAGCTGGCTCGTTGGAACACAACAAAGCTCTGGCAATCCTTGAGCCACCATGTAAAAATGCTCTGTACCCGGAGGCCGTCACCCTGTGAAGAAGCTCAAACCAGCCCACCTGGAGAGACCCGAAACCACAAGCAGAGAGAGAGATCTGGCCAGTGCCTAGTGTCCCCGCCTCCTGCTCTTCCAGCGGCAGGCACTGACTGTGTAAGTGGATCAGACGCCCTGCAGCAGAACTGCCAAGCAGAGCCTTTCCCAAACTCCCGACCCACAGGAACCATGAGAGAAAACAATTACTGTTTAAGCCTCAAATTTTGAGGTAGTTTGTGACAAGGATTACTTCTAAAACCTACACCACCCACATGGGGCTACATAAAAGGGAGTTGGTCCCAGGGACTCAATGAGTGCTCAGCATTTACTTTCAAAACTCTCAAATCAGATCACTTGGCTTTTTATGTCAAATTTTAAATGTTATTGAACATATAGCACTGGAAGTCATAGCCAGAACAACTTGGCAAGAAGAAAAAAAAAGGAATCCAAGTTGGAAAGGAAAAACTAAAACTGTCACTACTTGCAAATGACATGATATGTATAGAAAACCCTAAAGACTCCACCAAAAAAGTTAGAATCTATGAATTCAGTAAAGTTGCAGGTACAAAACCAATGTACACAATTCTGTTTCAATACATTAATATCAGAAAGAGAACAATACCATTTACAACTGCATTAAAAAGAATAAAATACTTAGGAATAAATTTAATTAAGGTAAAAACCTGCACACTGAGAACTATCTGACATTGGTGAATATTGAAGACAACACAAATGGAAAGATATTCTGTGTTCACGGACTGGAAGAATTAAAATTGTTAAAAATGTCCATATTACTCAAAGCATTCTACAGATTCAATGAAATTCCTATCACAATTCCACTGGAATTTTTCACAGAATAGAACAATCCTAAAATTTACATGGAACCACAAAAGACCCTGAATACCAAAGTGGTCTTGAGAAAGGAGAACAAAGTTAGAGACATGCTCTCTGATTTCCAAATATATTACAAAGCCATTGAAATCAAAACAGTATGGTACCGGCATAAAAATAGACACATACATCAATGGAACAGAATAGAAAGCCCAGAAATAAACCCACACATATATGGTCAATTAATTTACAACATAGGGAGCCAAGAATATACAATCAAGAAAGGACAGTCAATAAATTGCATTGAGAAAACTGGACAGGCACATATAAAAGAAAGAAAGTGGACCATGATGCTGCCCCACACACCCCAAAGATTAACTCACAATGGGTTAATGACTTGAATGTACGACCTGAGACCATAGAACTAAAAAACAGGCAGTTGTAAGTTCCTCAACTTCTGTCTCAGTGATAATTCTTTGGATTTCACACCAAAAGCAAAGGCCACAAATGCAAAAGTAAACACAGAACTATAGCAAACTTAAAAGCTTCCACATGGCAAAGGAAACCATCAACAAAATGGCATCCTACTGAATGGGAGAAAATATTTGCAAATCATATCTGATACAGGGTTAATATCCAAAATTGAGCATAAAGAACTCATAGAACTCAATAGTAAAAACCCCAATGTGATTAAAAAATGAGCAGAGGACCTGAATATTTTTCTAAAAAGGACATACAGATGGCCAACAGGTACGTGAAAAGATGTTCCATATCACTAGTCAGGGAAATGCAAATCAAAACCTCACACCTGTTAGAATGGCTGCTATCAAACAGACAAGAAACACTGAATGTTAGCGAGGATGCGGAGCAGAGAACCCCCGTGCTCTGTTGGTGGGAATGTACACTGGTGCAGCCACGATGGAACACAGTGCAGGGACGCCTCAAAAAAATTAAAAGTAGAGCATCCATAAGACTTGCAGTTCCACTTCTGAGTATCTGAAGAAAACAAAAATACTTAAAAGATATACACACCCTGTGTTCACTTCGTTATTTACACTAGCTGAGATATGGAAATGAACAGATAAAGAAATCATGCTGTATATCTAATGGATTATTCTTCAGCCATAAAACCTACGAAATTTGCCATATGCAACATGGACGGACCATGAGGGTATTATGCTAAGTGAAATAAATTAGAGAAAGACAGATACTGTCTGATCTCACTTAAATGTGGAATCTAAAGAAAAAAAACAAACCAAGCTCACAATAAACCACAGTGGACTGGTGGTTGCCAGAGGTGGTGGTGTAGATGGTGAGTGAAATGGGTGAAGAGGGTCAAAAGGTACAAATTTCCAGTTACAAAATAAGTAATCCATGGGGATATAATACACAGCATGGCTAACTATAGTTAATACTATATCATATATTTGAAAGTAGATCTTAAAAGTTATCACAAGAAACAAATTCTGTAAAATATACATAGTAATTATATTATCAAAGGTTTTTTTTTTTGGTTAAGAAACCAATATTAGATGCCTTACAGAAGTTACATGACCTTCAAAAAGTAAGCGCTGCAACAATGTAAATCTCTTCTGGGAAGGGAAAGGCTTTTAGCTAGTGAGTTAATTTAAGAATAAAACAAAATAAAAGTGCTAGGATTTCCGCAAGGAAATATATTTATTTTTTCTTTAGAATTTGGCTCAGTAACAAAAATATTTACATTAAAATAAATTAAGATATGATTGTTAACCATATATAATAATTATGTTGGAATATATTAGTCTTTCCATGAACTTAAAAACTAAGATTTGGTTTTAGATTCAGTACCATCCTTCATATATTTGGGTGGCAATGCAATTGTCTGGTGTAGAAAGTGGTTATGGATTTCACCAAGGAACAACTGACGCCCCTTCACAGTACACCATCTGGCCGCAGACACTGATGGCCGGCTGAGCAGACCAGCTTCCCTCCCAGGGATCACCAGGAATGTTTCAGCAATAACCAGGACCTGGAGATTATTCAGGGCTGGTAGAAAGTTCTAAGAATCAGTCAGTCTATCTTTTCACATTAACTCACCAGGAAGTAAGTAATATATCAAATGTAATACTGATTCCTTCACTTTATTTTATACGCTAATACTGAAACAATGTATTGTAGAAATCTTGAGGTTCTCCTAAAATAATAATCTGAGAAACTTATGCATATCCTTTTTTAGGTCATCTGAAAGTATCCATAAAATCTATCACTGGCAAAATTGACACCACACAGAATATTTGATTAAATAATCTATTTACAGATAGTGCCATGGACAAGTCAAGGCATTACTAATAAGATACTAAATAAAGCTTCTGCCAGTCTGCAGTAAAGCCGAATATATTCACAATTTGAAAACTGTTGATGAGAGGTTGTGTGGCTTAGCAGAAAAAGCAGAGAGACCTGGGATCAAACCCTGTCTCAGACTCACTAGAGACATAACTTTAGGTATGTTTAAACACTAAGACAGTTTGGGATTCCGTAAGCTGGGAATTAAAACACCTGTTTTACAGGC